TTTATTATAAAAATATGACTTGACAAGTGTTTTTAGGCAGGGGTTGAAAAACCCATTGTACAATTCATTTGTCTCATTCTCTATTTCTTCTCTTAACATCATTTTTTTGGCAAAATTCAATAGTTAATCTCTCATCTTACAAAATTAATAAGTTTTAGCTTCCACCTCATAACATGGTAGTTTTAATATTTTATTTTATAAAGTTGATAAGTTTTAATTTTTTATCTTATATTATGGTATTTTTAGTCATATCACTGATATGAATAAAAGAAAATAATATTTATTTAATATCAAATTATAACGTTGTGTTAGTTTTGTTAGTTGATTGTTAACATTTGTTAGCATTTCGTTATAAAAAATATGAAATTTAAATTTAATTTTATTTGATAGTTTTATTAATGGAATGCTAATGAATACTAACCGTCAATTAACAAAATTAAAAATCAATTAATAAAATTAACAGTCGATTAAAAGAACTAATAGAATATTAAAATTTGATATTAAATAAATGTTATTTTTTTCAATTTATATATATAAAGAATTAAAAATATTAAAAATTAAAACTTATCAATTTTATAAGATAAGTAGTTAAATGTTGATTTTAACCTATTTTTTAGTAGGCATTAGCTACTACGTTTGTTATCTTTTTTTCTCATATACCTGGTCTCTCCCAAGAAAATATAATAAAGTTTATTTTTTATTTGTTGGAAATGATGGCTCTTTAAGAAGTATCGATACATTTCCTGAAGTCTTGGTCTTTAAGTTTTCAATGCATGATACATATGCCCATATGCACATAAAAAACCAATTTTTCTCACGACGTTTTTATGTGAATAACGTGATGCAGTGACTCAGTTATCTATGGAGTGGGTAGGGCCAAGCATCGAAATTGTTAAGCTTGTTGGTGGTCGATTTGTGAGATATCTGAAATACCAGAGAAAATATAATGATCTTCTGCAAAAGTTCGAGCAAAGCAAACAACTCTTGCACAGTCGAAAACATGAAATCGAATCAAAACAGGAGGCTCAGCTTGAATCTGCACGTTACCATGTTGTGAAGGAGGAAGTAGAAGTTTGGCTTAAAGAAGTGGAAGAATTTATTGGAAGACAGAATGTTGTTGATGAAGTGAACAGTTGGGGGTATCTCTCTTGTTGTTGCCGAGCGGTGATTCTAGAAGAAAGAACACGGGAATTGAAGGATATATATGATCGAGGGGATAACTACACTAGGGACGATTTGGTCATGGAAGATCCCTCCAAAAAATTCAATTATTATGTGCAGAAACTTGATGACTGGAAAGAGAAGCTGCAGTGCAAACAGGCAGACATTGATTCAAAACTGAATTCACAACTTGTCTATGGGAAAATTGAAATGGAGCAAGTCAAACGTTGGCGGGGGAAAGTGGAAGAGATGTTGAAGGAAGTCAAAGATATTGAAGATAAAATTGGAGGGAGTCCCTCACATTCTTCTAATTCTCTAGTAATGCATCTTGGAGAAAAGTTTCAAGAAATGAAGACAATGTGTGAAGAAGGAAGTCAATTGCCAGACTGTTTGGTCATTGATGATCCATCAGCTCTAGCAGTTGAATTGTCAGTATCACAATTGCAAGGCAGTGAGGTTGTTAAAGCAAATATTTTGGCATGCTTGAAGGGAGAAGGGGTGACAATGCTTGGAGTTTGGGGGATGGGGGGGGTCGGGAAAACAACAATCATGATGCATGTCTACAATAAACTACTGAAGGAAGGTATATTCAAGAAAGTAATTTGGGTAACTGTGTCACAAAACTTTAATATCTACAACCTACAAGAGCAAATTGCAAGCAGCTTGGGGGAAAATCTAGAAGAGCATGAAAGTACTATCATTCGTGCAGCAAAGTTATCAAAGATGCTAGAAAAATGCATGCCTTACTTGCTGATTCTTGATGATGTGTGGACGAGTTTCAAACTTGAAGATGTTGGAATTCCTGGGCCAAATGTAAGTAATGGCTGCAAGTTAGTATTGACTACACGGTCACATGAGGTTGCACGTTCAATGAATTGTAGAAGAATCCAAGTGAAGACTCTTTCAGAAGAGGAAGCTTTAAAATTGTTTTTAAATAAAGTTGGAGATACTGCTTTATCATGTCCAGGAGGAGGCCTTGAAAAGGATTTAGAATCAACTTTGAAGAAGATTGTGGCTGAGTGTGATGGTCTTCCATTGGCAATTGTTACAGTTGCTGGTAGCTTAAAAGGAATATCCGAGCTACGGTTGTGGAATGCTGCACTAAATCAATTGCAAGATTGCAAGAGAAATGTAGCAGGTACAGATAATGATGCATTTGAGATATTGAAGTTCAGTTATGATCGTTTGAAAAACTCTCAGATCCAATATTGTTTCTTATATTGTGCACTATATCCTGAGGATCACAATATTTCGAAGGAAAAAATAATTGAATATTGGATTGATGAGGGGTTTATAGATGAAATGGAAACTCGGCAGGAAATGAAGGATGAGGGTTATGATATTTTGAGGCAGCTTGAAGAGAATAGCTTGTTGGAATCTGAATATGGAGGAGCTTTTGTGAGGATGCATGATCTTATAAGAGACATGGCCTTGCACATTACAAGAACGAGTCCTCGGTTCTTGGTTGAAGCTGGCAAGTGGTTGACAGAGCTACCAGAGAAGGTAAAATGTATAGAAGATGCTGAAAAGGTTTCATTAATGTATAATTCTATTGAAGAAATTCCATTGAGCTTTGCATTTTCAACATGCATAAGGCTCACAACCTTGCTGCTGGCCTGTAACAAATTGTCAACAATTCCAGAATCTGTCTTTGAGCACATGCCAGAGCTAAAAATTCTAGATCTGTCCTTCAATTGGGAGCTAAGTAGCTTGCCAAATTCCATCTCCAAATTGGTGAAGCTTACTACATTGTTGTTGGAATCAACATCCTTAGAAAAGGTACTATCTTTATCAGGCCTTGGATCTTTGAAAAAGTTAAACCTTAGGGGGACAAAAATCAAGGAAGTCCCCGAAGGCCTGGGAATGTTGAAGAATTTGGAATGTCTTTTTCTTTGTGGATCAGAAAGAGGTCACAATCTTGAAATAGATGAAATAGCAGATGGAGTATTGTTAAATCTCTCCAAACTTGAGGAACTAATTGTAAATTGGAGCAGAATAAAATTGAAGGGGGACGTGGTTGGGAGATTGAAGCAATTGGAAGTTTTTTATGGCTGGTTCCCCACTGCGAATGAAATGAGAATCTTTCTCAAATGTCAACCTAATAAGCTGGGTGACTATTTTATTAATGTTGGAAGCGAATTGGTTCTGGATGATTCTTATCAAAAAAGTCTGCCAACATATGGGAACATTAAGAAAATAGTGGTGTTCAGGAAGACTAGTATTGTTGGAGAGAATATGTTATTTCCCTCCTCCATACAAGCATTAGGTGTTGATGCTTGCCACGACATAAGAAGCTTAAATGATTTTTCTACCATCAATGATGCAACAAATTTGAGGGGATGTTGGATTCACAGATGTGATGGCATGGAGTGCATTTTTCCCTCGTGGATAAACAACCCAGTCGTCCAAACCGTTGAGTATTTGTATCTTCAGCGGTTGGACAAATTGGATGGGCTATTTGAAGCAAACATCATTGCGAAGTCGTCACCTCCACCTGGGACTTTTTCATCTCTTAAAGGAGTTTTGATTTATTCATGCAAAAAATTAAAGAAGTTGTTTCAATCTTGGAAGTTGCTGGATTATCTCCAGAGTCTATGGAGGATTGAAGTAGTCGGTTGTAAAGAAATGGAAGAAATAATAGCATCAGATCCAGAAGAACAAGGAGAAGAAGGAGAGGACATCATCAAGAAGCTCATTCTTCCAAAACTAAAAACCCTGGAATTGTGGGGTTTGCCTGCATTGAAGAGCATCTGTAGCAGAAGGGCAGTAATGGTATGTGATTCTCTTGAAGAGGTTCGTATTATGGATTGCAAGGGCCTAAGGAGGATTCCTTTTCAGTTCCCTCCTAGTCTAGATCTTGTTTGGTTGGACAACTTGGATTGGGTGTTTGAAGTACCACTTCAGCCTAGCACTTTTTCATCTCTTAAAAAACTTAGAATTAGCCAATGCGAAGGAGGAAAGAAGTTGTTTCCATCTTGGAAGTTGGTGGAATATCTCCAAAGTCTAGAGAGTATTGAAGTCTTCAAATGTGAAGAAATGGAAGAAATAATAGGGTCAGACCCAGAAGAAGGAGGGGACATCATCAAGAAGCTCATTCTTCCAAAATTAAAAGAGCTGAGTTTACAAAACTTGCCAGCATTGAATAGCATCTGTAGCAGGAGGGCAGTAATGGTATGTGATTCTCTTGAAGCGATTTACATTTGTGATTGCAAGGGCCTAAGGAGGATGCCTCTTTCTCTTCCCCTGGTTGATAACGCCCAACCATCTCCTCCTCCTTCCCTCAAAAAGATCTTAATAGATCGAGGAGAACTAGAATGGTGGGAATCGTTAGAGTGGGAGCATCCCAACGCAAAGGATCTCCTTCGACCCATGGTTCAATATTTTAATGAATCCTGGATTCCACAATCGAAGTCAGAACAGTCGGAGTCGGTCTGATAATCCACAAGATTGAAAGGTAAGGATCAATTTGCTATTTTAATTTAGGTGTTACTCTCTGCAAATCTTTGTTTTGGCATTCATTTCCTACAAACTGAAAAAAATTTTAATGAATGAAAATGCATATATATAAATTCGCTAAAAAAAATGTATTAGTAGTGCGTAATTTCCCTTCACCATGATTTTCCATTAATGAATTTCTCTCTGTTTTTTCAGTGGATCAGGAAGCCGGTTCATTCAACCAGTCTGTTGTTGCTTTTCCTTCCGAGCTTCAAAGGATGTCCCTTCTACTACCCTTGTGTGGATTGTTTTAATGTGATTCTTGTGTTTTCATACTCTCTTTGTAAACTAATTGTGTGAAAAACTGATTTAGAATACCATCTGTATTCTTATGTATTTTGTTGCATTTTTATGTATCTTGGTTGTACCATGTCCATACATAAATATGTGTTTTCAATCTAATCTTTGATGAATTAGTTGGAGAGAAAGCAAGAATTCCAACCCACAATAATCAACTCATGAATTCATTGATTCTCTTCTTTTTTGTTCTTTCTTCTTCTTGTTCCCTTCTGTAGTGTGATTGCTTCTTGTTCAACAATACAAGAACACTGGGAGCCGAGAATGGCTTTTTAGTTCTTTACTCTCTAAAAAGTTCCTAGTGTAGACCTTAGGAATCACATACAAGTTGTACAAGCCTAAATGAGATCATAGTCATTTAACTAAAATAGGAGGCTTAGTGCTGCACTTTCTTACCTAAGTGGCCAAGATTTGATTCTTTAATCAAATTCACTGCTAGCTTATAAGGAAAATAATCCTGATTGATTTGTCTATGCAGGTAATGTATTGTAGGATTAAGGATGCATTGATACAGATGAGTAAAGGTGTACTAAAGGAACCTATTGCAGTTCTAGTTCCTGTCTTGTTTGGTGATAGACCTCCAACATTGTTAAAGAAAGATGTTACATTCACCCCTTTCTACTCCATCCTTGATCACTCTCAGCCTGAGGTGCATAATGATATCTTTCCCAATGCAACAATGGTTATCCTGCATGTTTGCTACATCTAGTTTTGGACAGTACACTCAATGCATGGGTTAGCCCTCATTTTTTAAGACAAGTTGAACAATAGGAAATTATCTTAATGATAGCAAGTGTTAGTTTCGAAAGTTGTTTTCCATTTTTCTGTTTGCTACCAAAATGGAATGAATCTTCAACTATCTTATAATTTATTTTGAGTTTGGTTTCAAAGTAGATAGGACCAATGGGGAAAACACTTCTTGAGTTTCATCCACATAAAGAGATGTTCTTCCTACTCACAAGGTGAGGACCCAAATAAATGGTTTGGAGCTCTAACATTTTTGTTGGTTTTGGTGCAATAGTTATACTTTTCTTGGTGTACTGTTAGCATATAGGCTTTAATTATAATGTGAGGTAGACAATAATTCCCTTCTATTAATGTGTTTAAGTGAGATTGTTTTGTTTTATATAAAAGTTTAGATTTTGGATCTTGTGAATCTTAAAATTAAACTTTAATTCTTAACAAGTATGAATGTAATAAAACTAGAGTAATTCAGAAGAATAAGAACCATACTTCCTGACTTGACATTAATTCTGTAATCAAATTTTACTAGGACTTACTGATTGAAGCCCTTAAATTTGTGAAAGATACATGATTGATCTACTTCAGATATGACATGGATTAAAAGAAAGATGAAGACAATACACTAAACGAAGGTGAAGCTGAGATTGATTTTTCACATACAAAGAGACTAGACTTAAAATGGAGTCCATTGTAACGATTACATTACCCTATATGCTACCCAGGTACCAAACAGTGAACTGTGCTCTAGTTAATTGTCTAGTTTATATACTTTGTAACTTGCTTAATAAAGGGAGGACCAAAATACTAGCTAGATATTTGCTTCTTCTACTCCCATTTCTTTTGCAATATGACCAATATATGATGGTTTGTTTTTTAAAATTCCAAATATATTTCAAGTTGTCTAAGTAAAGATGTTTAGAAGCAATGAGGACCGGCTAGAAGGATGTAAAGATCTCAATAGTTGATGGGTGTCCAAGGTCGAGACAAGGAAGCCACTATGATTTCCCTGGTTTGACCAAACTCTACCAAAGAGGCACTTTAAGCTATAATTCTAAGTTCTAACTATTTTTCCCTTTGGTGGATTCTATATTGAAAATAAAATTGTGGCATTTTAAATATGTTTAGGTGGGGTTT